GCTTGTGGAAAGCAAGTATCTTGATGATGATACGTTTAATGAACTTGTCATTACAGTTGAAGGTGTAAAGTTTCACAAATTGTGTTTGGAATTTGATAGTTACTTCTAGACCTGATCAGAAAAATATTCACCAAAGAAAGTGGAAGCAGAAAGATGAAGAATTTTTGGAGGTTTTGGTCGCAGTCCACTTTGCGATGTGATGCTTTCCTCATTCCCCTAGGTACTTTACTGTGCCTGGGATACCTTTCTGAAAAATAGACTCTGGCATATCTGAAGCTGTGGATCTGCTGTAGGAAGTCCACACCCTGTGCTATGTAAATCAGTGAAATATCATAGTCTTTTCTCATTTGAGATGTACAAATTGTAGAAGGCATCAAAAGCAATAAGATTATCTAGGTGATGTAATTCTCAGCATACCAAATCCTATTCAGCAGCTCATAAAAATACACTGAGAAGATGTTGACCACCTCTTGTGAGTAATGGGCACTTGCAGACTAGCCAAAGTGTTTACCTCTAATTTAGTTAATTGACACTGTGCTTAATGAGCAAGGATCAAAGAGTAAAAAGCATGTCTGTAGCCCAGAGGCCACAGAATAGTTTTGAATTGAGAGCTGACAAGAATAAGAAAACAAAGGTATAAAAAAACCTTACAGCTACAGACCAGGTTATACTTGAACATTTGCTTACACCTGAGGAACAGCTCTGTTCCTGAGACGATCATCATACTGAATCTCCTAGCAAACAGACAAACAGGTAATACTGAAGTTTCATTCATCTCCCTTTACTAGCAGACAGACTGATTGCCTTGTTGGTGTCCTCGCCCCTCACACCATCCTTACAAGAGAACCAGACTGTAGTGTTCCCGGGCTCTTCCTCCAAAACCAGCTTGGTTTCTGCAGTTGGGCGCAGACTCAACAAGCCCTTAGGTGAAAGGTGGAATTTTTTTTTGAGTGAGAGAAAAAGAACAAAGTTTTCCAGCCCCTTCAGCAGGCAGTCTCACTGACATTTTCTGTAACTAAGTGAGGACTTTTAACCCTGCACCATTTAGCCACATGGATCTTGCAGGATAGGTGGGTCCCGGACACCCAGGAACCTTTTTACCCTTCACCACTGACAGAATGAAACATAAATAAATTAGGCAAAAATTATGCCTCTGCTCTACCTTTTCTTTTTTATCTCTGCCCCCCCTGTGCCTGGCATTCATTTTTTTCTCTAACTGATTAGAATCATTCTTCTGCAAATATGGCCAGTGGACGAGCTGGTTTGGATATTGTAATAGCATATTGCACCTTACTTCCTTGCCTAGCATATACAAATTTTCTATTATGGAAAATGTTTTTCCCACTGCAATACAGTGTATGTTGTAGTTTTTTTTTTTTTTTTAAATCTAAGGAGTGTTCCCTTCTTGCTGTTGTTTGGTTAACATATGATACATTTCCTCTTGTTCTAGAGACAAAATGTGAAACACTCCCTTACAGTCCACGTTATGGATCGTGTAAAAGTTGCTGGTTGCCAAAGGGCATGTTTCAACAAATGTCAGGCATTTTACAAAGATTCAGAACTATGTTTCACCCTCTTTCAGGAAGAAGAAAAATGAAAAGATTCTGTTCTGCAACCATTCTCTTTAATGGATCAGTTTGCATAAATGAGGACTTGCTGTTACATTATGTCTTCTCATCTGCCACTTAGGTTAGGGTGGAGCCAGGGGGTCTCCTAAATAGCTGTTTCTCTCAGTATGAGTTGTGTTTAATTTTTCAGATAAAATAGAAAGTATTGGTTCAAGATCTTCGCTTCATCAGATATTCTCCTTATAGTACTAAATCATAATCCACTGATGTCCTCTTTTGGAACTCTTTAAGAAGGTTTTGTGCATATTACTGTGGTCAATTCCTTGGAATGTAGAAGAATTCAGTGCAAATTTAAACTTTTAATTTGGAAGCTACTAAGTTGTTGCAAATCTGAGAGAGCTGGGTTTGAGGATAAAATGGTACTCTAGGGAAAATGCATTAGAGCAAAAAATTTATTCAGAACAATTGTGGTAAAGGAGGATAAATGTAGAAAATAATAAAGAAAATGAATAAAAAGATGATAAGAAATGTAATGCTAGGCACAGAAGTGTGTATATAAAGCAGGGAGTAAAGGACTGAGTTTTGTTACCCTATTAAATCTCTAAAATTATTTTGTTGTCATACATGGAAGATGATTACAACATTGCAAAACACAGTATTCTAGCCAGTCCTTCATGAATGTAATCTGGTGCTTGTATTTCCAAGAGCAAACCCCAATATATACCAAACTATCGTAATGATAAGTGTTCTTGTCCTGTGACATACTTAAAATCTGTTTAGCTTAGAATGAAGACTGAAATAATTCCTTCACATTTTTAGCCATGTATTTTGTGACTCAAAGATCTGAAGTATTTGCTAGTTTAAAGGCAAAAGATACCAAAGTAGGGGAATAAAATACCAGTCTTAGGGTGTGTTCTTCCACGTTTCTAGTAGGAAAAAGAGAGGGAGCTAAATCCAGTGAATCATTGGGTCCGTATCTGATGTAGGGTAGGATTTTTGCACCTATTCCAAGTATAAACAGCTAGTATACGCACATTTTAGGGGCAAAGTAGTGTTCCTGAGTGCCATGGCAGGACATGGTGTAGGAAATGTGTCAGGAATTGCGACAGAAGGTGCTGAGAGTACATTCTTGATCATTTAGGAACCTGGGAGATAGAGGAAAAAAGCAAGAATTTGGGGCAATACAGGAAAAAAAAGCAAGAATTTGGGTAGCCCTCTTAGAAGACAGAGCATCCTGATCCTGGAATGCTGCAGTGCACCCTGACACACAGGCACACCCGTTTCTCTCTCTCCCTGTCCCTTGCCTGAGAATTCAAGAGAGTGCTTGTACCAGCTCTGCTCCCTCAATGGAGGCTGCCGGGGCTGGGGGATTTTAATTTACACTGGCAATCAGGAGGTCCCTAGCTGCTCCAGAAACGTGTGCCAGTGATTGCAGAAAAGGAGCAACACAGAGCTGAAGCCAAAGGAAGTAATGTAAATAAAGGTGTGATATAAATGAGGGTGCAGCCTGCATTTGATATATCCACGTAGATATGTCTTTCAGTGTCTGTCATTTGTGGAGTGTTATAAGCAATCCATGACCATCTGAATGCTGACTATGCCTGAGTGTGGTTGCTATTATATATGTTTTACGAGCTGTTTATCTATAGTTGCAATACCTGTAGGATCTTAAAATGTAACCGATGCCTTTTCTCCATTCTACTACCGTGTTGCTGGTTCCCTTGAACGAAGTAGCTACCTAGCTGCAGAAATTACAAAATGCGTACATAGTAAAAATCCTTCTAGCACAAAAATTTAGGGACTAAAATGACATATCTGAGACACGTACTGCCTTGCTGTAGTTTAAAAGACTTACTCTGAAAATGCCTTAATTTGAAGGCACTGTAATGAAAGACTGTTAATGATACACCAGAAATGAGCTTAGGCTGGTTTCAGGAGCACAGATGGCTAATTGGCTTCAGTTGGTAGGTTATATCATTTTAATTAAATTTTACTAGGAAGCATTTCAAAGCTGTAACTGATGGTTTAAGATAAATATTCTTCTTCACAAATGACCTATTGCTAACCTTTATTTATTTCTCTCCCTCTTCTCAGCATTAATAGAGGATGCTGTGACTGAGCTCTCTATGGCCATCTTTTGCCTCATCCATGTTTACAGCAGCAGCTTTGATGCAGGTTTTCAGCTTGCCAGCATACCTAAAAGTCCCTCATGCGCAGACATCAGCCTACATTCCCAGCTCAGCTTCACTGTTTATGCTGCCCATAACATCCCAGAAGCCTGGGTGAACAGGTAGGAGACTTCATTAAGAGTTCTCAAGAAAGGGTGTTGTCTCTCAGCTCTTACAACCGCATATGTTTCACAGATACTAGTTTTCCTCCAGAGGTTTGGTGATACTCCTATACTCGTATCAGAGAGTAAGTGGATTGTATCTCCACTGTTTTTCTAGCATAACATCCACTTAAGCTGACCAACTAGGAGACTTCAAGTCCCTGTAGGCACAAAGAGAATTGAGGAGATGACCTAAGCAGTTGCCCTTGGCCTTGGGAAAGACTGTAATAGAAGCAGGGTCAGAGCACTGGGCTGGATGGATAGGAGTATGTATGCTTGTAAGATCTACTTACTCAGACTCTGAGGGAAGAGCATGTGCACTGCATGCCCAGAGTTTTGGGTCAGGACTTAGTGTGGCCTCTGCAGCACAAGTAACTTGAAAGATTGATGACCAGCTTACCAAGTTAAACAGAACTGTGCTTGCTTAAACTCAGTCTAAACGTGGCCTTATCAGCACTTTTTGCTGTTGGTGTATTCAGATCACGTTATTTGGCTAAGCAGGTGCATTGACAATCTTCTCTTTATAGATGGTGGTTAAAATAAGTATAGTTTAAAGGTTCGAGTGTACCCAGTGTATCAGGACAGCAGAGGAAAGCAAAGAGGGAGACGACTTTAATAAAAAAGCTGATTAAAATATTCTCTTCCACATTGACTATTTATTTAAATTAGTTGTCTCTTCAATTGGCTGTGTTTCCTACTCTGAATAAAATCAGCGTTCTCCTCTTCTTCCCACTCCCGTGCAATTAAAGGAAGACAGAAGACTACAGTCTGGCAACATTATTTTTATGGGTGAAAATGCTGTTCTCCAAGTTTTTGTTAATACTTTCCCCTTGCTCCCACTTTACCTTGAATTCCAAATAAGTGATTAAAAAACAGTGGGATCATTTGCATTAGACTGTGAGCAAGAGTGTACTATACAGCATTTAGCTGTAATTAGCAGTTTAATAAAAATCTGAGAGAATTTGCATTAATTAAGGTAATAAATATAGAACTACAGTCACTGTCCTGATTTTGCAGATGGTTGTGCCGTTTCCACTGCATTTTAGGATTTTCTAGTAAAATGTGAAATTATATATGGCCTGAAGTGCACTGGTGACTCGAGTGTTGTATTCAAACATGTGAAAATGAGAATCTCTCTTCCTGCTTAATCTCCCTTTCCAAACTTTCCAGTATTCTTACCTATCATGTACTTAACATGAACTGCAGCTGACACCTACTTTCCTCAAATACCTTTACTAACAACGTTTGTATTCACTCTCCTTATTTCTGAAGCACTACCTAATTCTGTGCTGGCCATGTCGCAGCTCTCATTTTTGCCTTTTTTTCAGAGGCTCACATTTTATGATTTTGCTGCTGTTCATAACATTCTTAGTATTTTTGCCTTCTCTCACTGTCTATCTCACATTGTCTATGGGATAAATGACTTTTCTTCTAGTGACTTGGGATAAAAGAGAAGGAACTGTGTTACAGAATCATGTCGGTGTCTCCTCAAATCCCTCTAAAGCTCACTTTTGTGGGTTGGCTCTTTGTTACTAACGTTACATTTGTGCTCTCAACTACCTGTTCCAGTCTTACAGTCCATCTTAAAAAGGTAAGCACCGACGGTACAAGTTGCAGACCAAAGTAACAAAACAGATTACCTTTCTTCATTGTATTTTCTTTCTTTCTTCCTTCTTTTATCAGTATTTGTTGTTTTCTCTCGTTTAAATCTCAAGCAGATGTGCCCTATCTGATGCCAGTGGCATAATGTTGCTAGAATCGTATTTAGCTGCATTCATTTCTCCAGCCCAGAAAATCAGGTTCCTATATACATGTGGATGATACAAAGTGGTCTTTAGGACAAGACCAGAGAGTCATATCTTTTAGCCTGTAGGCAGGCTACCTAGGTACAACGCTTTGCAAAGACATACAATGTATAGAAGGGTGTGCACTCTGAGCCATGTTTCTGACTTCAGTCTGACTGAGGCATCATATAAGCATTAACTTCCCAGGATTAGGGCCTTATGGTACATAAATCAGGGATATATAGGTATCAGTACTTCAATTTAAATAGCAGTGCTCAGTTACTAATCTTATTAAAATCTATTATTTCCTGCCCTATCCTCCATTTGTTTATAGTGTTTAGACTCTAGAAGAAAAATGTCATATTTTAGAGCAGGAGCATTTCCAATTGATTCCGGTAAGGTTTTTTTTTTCTTCCTTTCTCTGCATAGATACATCATAGATACTGCAAATCTCTTTCTTTGAATTAAAAGAAAAAAAAAAGCACATTGCTGCAATAATTATAACAATTATTATAATGTTCTGGAAGAGATCAGCAGTCATGACTGTAAATGAGGCAAAGCCAGGCACCTTTAATCTTCAAATGGCTTCAAATTTGCTACTTTCTTCCGCTGCCTATCCTTCTGGTATAGAATGTGGCCTAAACCTGGGAGAGACCATTTTGTATAGGAAGACAGGGACATTACAAGACAGATTAAGAAGAGTTAGTTCATTATACAATATTCCTTTATTTTAGACTAATATTGCATAAGATTTCAGTAAGAACAGTATGAAACCAACAGATAGCCCCAGACCTAAATTACACTGTGAAGTTAGCCAGATAAGCGTCCAAAGAATGCCAACACTTCAATGCTTACACTGTCAGAAATGCTTGCATCCTCTTAAGCATTACCCTGTTTCTCACAGATTGGGAAATATACTAATATATAGTATTAGATTTACTTGACTAAAGTTGTATGGTGAACAAGTTGTAGCGCTTCATAGCTTATGTCAACACTTCCCTAGACTGCAATGATGAAAAAAATAGCCTTAATGACAAAAACATGGAGCAGAATCTAAGAGTCCTGAGTACTTTCCTTGAACTCTGACTATTAAAAAATATATATTTTTTAAAACACTCATATGAGAGCCATTATTTTAATTTTTTTTGTAAAGAAGGAGGGATCTTCACAGGTTTCTGAGTGGTTAGCCCCAAATTTACTCCATTGCACATGTTACATTAAAATTAATCCTTTTTTTCTTTCCCTTTGCAGCTACAAAGCTTTTTCTTTTTCCTGTTCACTAATGTATGCTGGGAAGACAATATGTCAAGTGAAGATTTGCAAAAGTATACCAGTTAAAAAATCCTTCTTTTTCCTTGCAGACTGGAATGAGACGTAAGTTTTGGTCCATATTTGGTACATGCTTATCTGACAGATCTTACACAGTGAATATTAATTTCTAAAAAGTGTAGAGCAGAAAGGACACTGTGTTGTTATGCTTGGTGTTGTATGTGACATGAAGTAACGGTGTTCTGAATGTCCTAAAGTAGTAACACAAAACTAAGTGCTGTCAAGAAGACTCATGTCTTTTTAATGGATCTTCTATTTGTGCAAGATAAAATCCAGAGAATTCGGAGAAACTGAAGAAGGTTACAGTGGAAAAGGAGTAGGATGGCCAGAGGAAGAGAAATGGGACTACACTAAGAAGCTGGTTTCAGAGGAGTGTTCGTTTATCAGTGCTGGCACTGAGAGGGTACTGAAACTGAAAGGAGATGCAACTGAAGGCCATATTTCAGTTCTCCTGTTAGAACTTCTGCACTTTGGAGCAACATCTAATAGGTATGCAACCCAGCTTGAGACTGCATACCTATATTGTAGTATATTTTTAAAGGGTCCCCATTTAGAGGGAACAATGCTGTCAATTTTTATGTAAGAAAGGTCTGCAACCAGCTTTTAAGATGCGGACTTTAGTTTGAGAGACTGGAGTTTTAGAATGAAGGCTAGCAACTGTCTATCACCTGCCTGTCTGCTTTGAGGAAAATAACTCCATTGAAAAGCAGAACACACACATAGTGGCGTTCAGTTAAGGCAACAGCATGACAAAGGCATAACTGCAATACCTGGGAGACAAGAAGTAGGCAATTCTCTAAGTTCTTGTGGTAATATTGCTCTCTCCCAGCTCCCTGAGTATGGCATTTTCACACTTACAGCCTTTCAGTTTTTGGTATTTTACAGTATGATTTACAGTTGTCTAAATCAGAAAGAAGCTTGATTACGTTGTAATTGGACAAAGACTACAATTCATCTAAAAGAGGTTTTGTCACATGGTAGTTCAATACAAAGCGTGCAGTTTGTAACTTCTCTTTGCCTATATCTAAGACATATAAGAGTTTGCAGCTGGTCAAATCAAGTAAGACTGTTTTTGTCAAACCCATTAGAGAGAAATTTTGTGTAGCCTTTTTACATAGCACTCCTGAACAGATATAGAAAACTGAGTATATATGCCCTAAGGTTAAGAGACAAAATGAGTGCATTTCTACTAAGGTTTCAAATTCTTTTAGGTCCTAACATCTGCTTTAATGCCTCCGTTGAGTCCATGGTGTTTATGTGCTGAACTATCAATCTTTTGTAGGATTGAGGAGAAACTGTTTCTCCTGTGTTGGACTGTTCCAATTTGCTCTGTAGGAATTTTCATCCAAGTTTCACTCAAGTGCTGTCTTACAGTACATATAGACAGATATAATTGAAATGTAGCGAAAGAATTATATTTCTTATGGGTATTTTTTGCACCTAAGAAGTGACTGCTTCCTTTCTGCAATGCATCCTACACAACCTCTTTATAAGACAAAGCATAAGGAGATAGAATAGAAATAATTACTTCACCATAAAAATGTAAAGAAATCAGTTTAATGCTTCAGAATTTCTGTTTAAACCTCTCCATCAGCAAAATCGATATTAAATACATGCAATTACATTTAAAAGCTCCTTAGAAAAAGAAACAGTTAAGTGTGCGGACCAAATGCTTCTTTAGGTCATAGATACTTGTGAGGAGGCTCTTGACATCAGAAATAAGATGTATAATTGTATGAAACTTGATAATATAAGCTTGAAAGGGCTCCTTTCTGTTTTTTATTGTAGCTTGGATTTCAAAAATCTTTTTGAAAATCTAATTCAAATCAATTCCAAACTACATGACCAAAAATGTATATCTGTCTGACAGGCTGTTCAGTGGTTCCTTTAACTATCAAAGGTATTTACATGGTTTTCACCTAAAACTAGTTGACCCAGATTTGTGTGAGCCTCAGACCATGAGAACAGGGTTCATGGACCTAATGACCAGAGGTCCAAAAGCACAGGCTGAGAATTTAGGCCACCAGATATGCCATTATTTTTGTATGCTTTAGCTTATATCCAGAAACAGTTTTTGCAAACGAGGGCTATTTTTGAGCCAAAATGCAAACCTAGATGGGCTGCTTTAAATCAGCTAATAGTCTTCCAGCAAGACTCTCTTGGTCTTTGAGACACTACAGTGCTCCTGGGTTGGCAGGGCAGATTCTACACAGCAATAGAGGTTTGCAGAGCAAACACTTACTGCAGGACATGAACATGTTAAGGTCGTGACAATAGATTCTGCTCTTATTTCAAATCTAATGCAGCACTTAACAGCAAAACAGAAGGTTTTCACATAAAGACATCGTCTGGCTGCTTTACTATGTCGTGCTCAACACAGTGCAACTCCAGTACAGTATCAGAATATTAAACAGGAAAATGATGCCATAAGATATGTTATTTGTGGTAATATGCATAGGAAAGGAAATGTTTAATTTTAATTTATTTAAAGTATGAAATACTTGTCACACGGTACAGTAATAGGAGAATATATTTGTTGATATTTGTTTGTGCTACTGCTAACCTAATAAGAAAGAATGAACAAACAGCACCAAGCTTGACAGAATAATCAGTATACTCAGAGTATTTTAAAACATGCAGACAGAAGGAATAGTAGGTGTGGTGCCATATTATTACTGGAGATACTGCAAGCCCAGCTGGCATAATTTAAAACATACTCACGATAGGCTGGTTTGGTTCCCATACAGTAAATATATATATATTTAAACACTTTATATAAGAACTGAAGCAGGAATTAATTAAAATGTAGAATATCTTAATGAGATAAATGTTACTGCAGTAGTTTTTAGATATCATCAAGTGGCACCATTTCTTATCATAGGAAGTCTGAGTCACTCAAGATTGTAACTAAGCTGTGTTCACTCTTGGTTATATTTTAGCTATAGAGTTACTTTTCTGAAACTGAAAGAAATATGTTCACATGAAAAGTTTGGAGAGCAGACAAGATTTCTTTTCTGTAAGACTGTTATGGAAATAATTTGACCCTAGCTTTCCTAGGAGCAGAGCCTCCTGTACGTCTAGCAGTGCATTTAATTATTTATTTAAATGACGATGCAGCAAAGTAACAGCTCGAGCTGGGTGCCTCCGGGGAGGGGCCCCGAACAAAGAAATTTTGGGGTAATTATACTCCTTACAGTCAAATTTCCCCGCCTGCTAGTGGGAGTCTCTTCCAATCTTCTTTACTAAGTCAGTAGTCTCTTTCCTTCTGATTGGTTCATGTCTACATCCTGGGACAGTTGCTATGTTCCTGTGTCCGTTGTGCGCTGTATCTTTGAGGGCTGGTTCTAGCTGGTTTTGCAGTCACATCCTCAGCAATGTCTCTCGAGCTCATTTACAATTCAGCCTTGTGGCCTGCAGGCTTCATCTACTGTAGGCACTAGTGCTAAGCTGGGCTAGAGCTAAATTAGCTCCCTTTTCTAACAAAGACTTCTCATCTCGAGTCTTAAAGTGCAACATTCATTCTTATTCATATGCTATTTTCAGTTGATCACATCCATTGAAAAGGTATGTGACAAAAGACCACCAGGAAGAGCTTCCCTTAGATTAGGAAGTCACCTAACTTAAACTAGTTAAGTCACCATCCAGTTAGAGGTCAATCGAGTCAAAAAATAAACCTAGCTAATTTGAAATGAGTCCTGTCCTTAGACTCACTGGAACAGGGCAGAAAAATGGAGAGCAGTGTTTTGATCATTAGGAATCTGGGCAGAGAGTTCCCATAATAGGTAAGACTTGCTTTATTTGTTGATTTTCATCTATTTAGTTTGTGTTTTAAAGTGCTTTAACAAGTTACTGTCTGAACTTCAACCTGGTGGGTTTTTGTATTTGAACATGAGCTTCTGGTAAAGTCTTTTATCATCTTTAGTCCTTCTCAGAATGTTTATAGAACAGATGGGGATCATTTGTTACCTCTCAAGGTTGTGTCACTTAGTGTTTTTGTGTTTTAACCTTTTTTAGGAGTGTACTTTTTGCTTTAGAACTTGAATGTTAACTTTGAAAAGTAGAATAATGACCTTGGTACAGAGTTTGAACAGGCCGATACTATCTAGCACATAATCTACAAAGTCCAAAAGTTGCCACCTTATTTTCCCATCCCCTTCATTTTTCAGTGACTGAGACTTCTTAATTACTTTCTTCCTTTTTTTATTAACTGTCTGCTTTTAATATCTTCATTCCACCATCTCCTCTCTTTTTCCATTCTCCATAATTTACGTTAAACCTACAGACATGAAATATGGAATTAGCATTAAGCCTGCCATCCATCACCTCAGATACTTTCTTGGCTTTGACCTTCCCTCTTCCCCGTATTTTGTTTGGCTTATCTGTTTAATTTATACTCTCTCAGGGCAAAGCCTGGATTGCCCCAGAGCTCTTCAGTTTTGAATGCCCTTATAATGTTAGGCCCTTAGCCTTGGAAACCAGCAGTATATCTTTATCTAACATCTGTAAATAGCACTTTCTCAGTGAATAGCATTTCTGTTCTTCTCTACTACTGTTGAAATTGTTCGCCCACAGGACGACTTACTTCTGGCTGCTGTTCCGTTTCCTGTTTCTTCCTCTTAGTCATCCATTTGTCTTAACCTCTGGCAGTCAGAGAGGATTACACCAACCAGATAAACTTAGACATATATTAATCAAAGTTCTTAAATGAATACAGATATTCCCCTTCTTCATTGTGTACAACATGTCATTGAAAGGGAAATTTTGCTCATCTTTAACCCGTAGTTTAAGTCTCAGGCTGTCTGACTCTTGTTAAAGTCATCAGGTTTTTTCTTACGTATCTACATCAGATAGCACCATATATTGTGTCCTAGGGAACTTCTGCCAAGCATCTGCTTTCTGCAGTGAGAAGAATATTGTCTGATTTTTTTCTTTGCTCCAAGTTCACAAGCAGTGTTAAAAAATTCTATATTAAAAACATAGGTATCATTTTTATTTTTGTCACTTCCCAGCAAGTATTAATGATGCTTTAAAGTTAAGCGTAACTGTTATAGCGTAACATATAGGCTTGATGTAATGTGAGCAGAGTTGTTGGCCTGTAAATAGAAAGACAGTGAACAAGATATCTATGGCATGTATAACGGTTCAGTTGCCAAATAATAGTTTTTAACTGATTATGAGTAAGAAAGAGGGCATAATCTAAAGCTGTAAAAAAGACAAATGGGAAGACAGTTAAAGATTGTTTCTTAATTCTATTGATGTTAATTAGAGTGGGAAGTTGCTGTTTTGCTTTATTACACAAAGTGAGATGTATGCAAATTAGAATAATTTCCAAAATGTTTGGGATTGATCATCTGAATCTTGACATTAATGCTAATTTGGAGTACTTGAGAATTTCAGCTGAAACAATCTACTTTATTTCAGTAACTCCTGAGCGTACTCAAGGAAACTTTCCTGAAGCCAATGGAATTTTGACAGATTTGTAGTGGCAGAACTGGGAGTAAAATCTAATGCTAATTTTACTTCATACTGCTACTTGGTGTCATTTCTGCTGCCCATAAGTCTTATATTTTCAAGGCTCTATTATATTTTTTTAAATACTGATTTCTACATATGCTTACTACTTAAGCAAGACTGTAAATTTTTAAAAACGCTGAAAGTTGCATTCTTCTGCTCGTCTAGACTGAGTATCTGAAAAATTAATGCACTTTGTATTATTTAGATTTAAGTTCCAGGATTGTTTTTTTTTAATTCAAGGTTGTGCAGATTTTTTGTTTTCTTAACGCTTATGTTGTCAATGCAGAATAATTCTTTTAGCCCTTAGCTCTTACTATTGATTTTGTTTACACAAAAAATAGAATTAATCTCATTTTCCAGTTGAGAAATTCAAGTTTACACTGAATATACATGGCAAAAATTAGAAATGTACCCTACACCATCAACTTCCTCTTCAGGAAGAAGGAGGAGGTCTCTGGGGTAGTCACACACCTGATTTTTCCATACAGTGTGAAAGTATCTTAATTATTAGAATTGTTGTAATTTCAGATTTTAAAACCGATGCGTATAATCTATACAAACAAACTGAATCATCAGCGAAGTTGACGGTCAGTACAAGGCTGAAATGAATACTAATACATCTGAATTTTCTCACTGAAAAGCCTGAATCACTTGTTGCTTTTAAGACAAAATCTACCTCAACTCTCTGTCTTCAGAGAGCATTTGTCTCTGAAGACAATTAGCTAGCCAATAACTGTTAGTTTACAATTCAGTCCTTAGTGGGTTATTCTGGAATAGCCATTCATTGATAAGGCCATTCTATGGCAAAGCTGTTCCTGCTTTTCTTAGCTCAGTGATTACCCATTTAAATGATTATACATGATTCAGTAATTTTATATGCCTCTTCTCATATACTCTGACCCCACATTAGCTGTTGGCAACGCTTGCCAATGTGTTGAAAGGATCTGTCAGCTGCGTTTTCCTTCAGAGAATTGCACCCTTGCAATATATGGCTTGATATATGTGTTACGTAACTGTGCTAAGATATTATTTTAATTTTTTCTCTTTCTGGAT